TAAAACTACCTCACACACACACACACACACACACACACACACACACACACATATCCACAGGGGGAGTTTCCTGTTATACAGAGCAGGAGCAGAAAGGGAGGAGTGAGGAGAAGGAGGAGGGAAAAGTGGGAGGAGAGGAGAGAAGGAATGTCCGAGCAGAGGCATTGTGTTTGGTTATCGCACAACCAGAGAGAGACAGGGAGAGAGAGAGAGGGAGGGAAGAATGACTCGGCTGGGAAGTAGAAACCCTCTCAGAAGGAGGTGTGACTCAGCCGTGGAAAGAGGAGCAGCTCCCTCATGTTTGGATGGAAACTACTAGAGACGTGGATCCATCAAGCAGCAGACCTGAGCTCACTGATTACAGCAGCGGCTCACAGACTGATCTACCAGAGGCTGTCAACAGATTTCAATTCTTGTCAAATTATTTGATATACTGAATTAGAGATTATCAGATTGGTTGGAGGACTGGAGGATCAGCCTCTGTGACTGACTGAAGCCGCATTAACTGACTTTAAGTCTGATCTGAAGCCTGATCAAGTGATTGGAAGTCTCACTGATCAGTTTTACACCTTAAGTCTGACTGATCTGACGCTGAATTGACTGACTTGACACTTGATTGCTTGAGTCTGACTGACTCCTGAGATTCCTAATTGACTTACCGGAAGCCTGTCAGCATTGACACCTGATTGTAAGCCCGATCCACCAATTGGGAGCCCAGCTGATCGATTGGTTTGCTGGCATCAGGATGAGCGGAGCAGAGGAGGTGGTGTGTGAAGGTTGGCTGCGAAAATCCCCACCAGAGAAAAAACTACGGCGATATGTGAGTACTTCACTTCTCTTTTAGCTTTTGGCAAAAACAGATCTGAGAATAACACTAAACAGTCCCACGTGCTATCAAAAGAGCACATCTCTAAAGTACTTTTATTTATTATTATTATGTGTTTTATTTTGGGTGTCAAGTACACATCAGTAGTGACTGTTTATTAGATGCTGACATGCACCTACGGGGCACACATGCTCCTGAGAAGTTTTTAATTAAGCCTGAGGATTAGCTCTGGGTTTCATCACTATTTACACAATGAGTAATTTCCTTAAGTTACAGAGCCACGATCATAAACGGAAGCACAACACAGCTGTCTGCTGCTCCACCTTATCAGTTTAATTCAGTTTTATAGTATTTTTTAACTACTTTAAAGCAGCCTTGTTATACAAGGTAACTGTAGTTAAAATAGAAACATTCAGAATTTTATATATATGTGTGTGTATACATGGAGATATGTCTTGTTTTTATGTATTTGGAGGACGCCAACAGAGTTCTACTTGGTAACACTGTTTTTTACAACCTGGAGGCCTAGTAGTTGCTGATATTAATGTTATTATTAAATTAGCATATCATTTCAGGTACCCACTTTCTTGAGTATATAAAGGCAATAACCAAGAGGTATGGAGCTAGGTATGGCTAAAATATGCAATCCTGTCTCAACATAAGAATATTTTTTTACCATCTTTGTGGTATCATCACACCGAACCACCTGCTGCTTTGGATATTTATATACAGTAATTACATTTTGCAAATATCCAAAAAAGAGTTGAAGGGGTTTGCTCTTCCCTTCTGCCTTAAACATCTGGTACAACCAAAAAAGTGATCAAATGCTAATTAAACTGAAACTTGGTCTTTTTTCTTAAATACTGTATGTGCAGTTATCATTAGTGAAAAAGCAGAAACTTAAGGATGTTATTGCCCTCTTTCTCAGAACATGACCACTGCCTTATGAAGGCGTCCGCTTCCAAACATTTATAGATAATTAGCCTCTGCAGCACCTAACGCCTACTGCTCCACTCAGCTTGCATGGGAACGGGATTTGAATTCCTCGCTAACTGGTTGGGAAAATGTTTGGAAATCTGCAATTAAGTCCTAGTACCAAAAGAAGCATTCATTCGCTGTGTCAGAGAAACAGCTGTTTCTAACTGGCTAACACAACATAAAAGAAAAGGTACCTTTTATCTTTCAAATCTGAAAAGTGACAACCTGCCATGTACCTGAAATAGATACAAGAGTCTGTATAACGTAATATATTAGGTCAATATCCCAAAATTAGTACAAGGCTGTTTGTCCAACGGCAGCATGGATAGCTTTCCAGTAAAGAAACAGCTTAGGCAGTTATTCACACACACACACACACACACACACACATACTGCATATCTGGCATGCCTTACCAGTGAGTTGAGCTAATCTCATCTCCCCTCTCCATATTTTCCCTTACTCTCTCCTTCATTCTTTCTTTCTTTCCAGAGAAAACTCTGTTGTCTTTTTTTGGTATATGTTGCCTTTCTGTTTCATTCATTTACTTTTTCTTCCTGTTCTTTTGTAACTTTCTTTTCTTAGTGAGTGTGTGTGTATATATGTGTTTTTCTTTCCTACTGGGGACCTTTTCTGATATAAACACTGACCTTGTCAGGACCAGTTGTCCTCGTGGGGACTGGTCCTAATGCAGCAAAATGTCATTTCTGAGGTCTGGTTAGGGGTAAGGTGTGAACTGAGGTTAGGTTTAGGCTGTGAATGAATGAAGTCGATATCTTAACAAGGGTAGCTGCGCAAACCTGCGTGCATGGGTTGAAAGCAAAAGGCCAAGGAGGAATAAATGGAGCAGAAGAAAAGTTCAGACTCTGAAGCAATGATTGCTGAAGGAATTGAATGGAAAAACCTTAAAATTGTCCCAAGAGCTAATTTTGATGACTTTATTACCCACAATCCCTTTGTGCTGGCATCAGTAAACTAAATGTCATCAACTTTAGAGGGGGAACAAACATACTGCACAGACACTTTGCTTGTGTTGCACTTCATTTTTCTGCTGCCACATATGAAATCTTGAGTACCACAGCAGGTGACAACGAAGAAGAAGTAGAGGAAGAACTTGAGGAAAAAGTGTGGGAAAAAAAAGATGAAGAAAAGAGTAATAAGAAGAGTAGAGAGACAAGAAGGGCTCGAAATAAAGAGCCCATTGTCCAGACTGTGTATACATTTAGCCATGATGGTATATACAACCCAGTGTGTACACACACACACTGTCCGGCCAGCTGTGTGTCGACTGTCAACACACACACTCACACGGAGCTCCTCATAATGGCTGCTGCAGGCTGAGTCTGCGTTCATGTGTTCACGTTAAGTATTGGGCCAGAGTTCGTGGAGTGTACCTCATCATACATCATACACTCCCTGTTCTGTCAAAAACTGTGTGTGTGTGTGTGAGAGTGTGTGTTATGTAATAAACTAATCGCTCTCAGCTGGGCCCGGTTGGAAGAAGGGGCCTCCCTAAAGATTTAGAAGATTTGGTAACACACACAGATGAACACACACACACACACAAACTGGAACAGAACCAAGGAGAATAAAAAGTTCTGCAACCTTCAGTGCAATAACAAACGTCACACACACACACATAAGGTCAAACACAGTTTAAAGAAAGCTGCATCTGAGACACTGTCCTGTATCACAGCCATCACAGCTTGGATAGACCTGCTACAGCAACAATACAGCGCTCTAAGGCTCCACAAAAGTGCACTAAAATGATCAAAAACCATCATCGATCAATTAAACAAAAGGGAAATTCTGGTTGACGCGGTAGGTATCCTTCACATCGCTCCAGGACGCACAGGGCTCCGCGGCCAAGTTGTGATATATATGAAACGTCCACTTGCAAAGGTTGGAGTTTCATCAAGTTTTGGCACAAAAACGACCTGGTTAGGGTTAGCAAAAGGTCGTAGGTTACATAACGTACCTGATGTAACTTTAGTACATGATTAAAATGCAACCTCATAGAAACTGTTTACTTTTGGGGATCACATGGGACACGAACAGTGGTCTCCTGTGTTTGTTTGAGCCATGCATCCACCCCACCACCTCCATATGTGGACTTTCTCACTCTTTATAGTAGCGTATAGTAGAAAGTCACCTGATAATTTTACATCTAAAACCTCCCTAAAATGTTTTAAATGAAATTATCTAAGAAGGAAAAATCATTCAGGCCACCACCCAGTGACATTTGCAACCTGTGACAAGATGTAGTGAGTAGACGTTTAGGTGTCATAAACCTAAAAGCTTTGGAACCACTTGTTAATCTTGATAGGGTTTCCTTGTGTACACCCTGTGTGATTGTCTGAACATTGTCAACATAACTGACGGAAATAAATTAAAAAGTATAACCAGAAGTATCCTCTAATGAAATACATGTCATTTTAAATAAAAGTGTAATTGGATTTGAAAACTATTTGGGTGGTTTTCAGTTCCAGTTGAGTTTTAGGGAAGCGATGAGGAACAAGTCAATACCAGTTCCTTCGCAGTGTTTACAGTGACTGCCGTCAAATGGAAAGTGTTGGGACATGTCACATGTTTGCAGTTCTAAAGAAGTGTTAAATGTGATGGGAAAAGGCGGGATGGATCAGTAAATAAGGAAGTGAACAGTAGGAAATTTGTTATTCAAGTCTGGTGTTAATTTTGGTTTGGAGGCAGGATGGAGGAAGTGTTATTTTAGATCCATTGTGCCCTCTTCCTGTCAGGGTCAGAGGTCAATGGAGGAAACAAAACGAAAGGAGAGGAGGAGAAATGAGAGAGAATAGAGGGAGAAGAGATTAGAGAAGGTGTTTAAGGAAATGATGTAATCAGATAATCACAGATTCTTGTGGTGTAAGATGTTAACAGAACAAATATTGTGTGTGTAAAAACTGCTTTTTCTGCTTAGGATTTGAAAGTTTGGTTCAGCCACATTCTCTCACCCTCCCTAACCATGACAAAATTGGCAAGACTCTAAGGTCTATCACATGTGTTGACCCCCCCCCCCGACTGCTGCAGCAATTTAAAAAAAATCAGAAAGCTAGCTAAACGTAACCCCAGTTTGTGCCCCTCATATACTGGTTGCATTAACATTAGCATACTGCATAAGCGCCGGCAAAAACAACGTTGTGTGCACTGTACATAACTGTACTGTATTCAGAGCGTAACAACATATAAAGAGTTTGTCCAGGATTGTCCAGAATCACGAAAAATACCCGTAAAACACTTAAATGTCCTGGTTTTCACTTCAATTAATAATCTAATATTTATCATGTTCTGTCCCACTTATTATTACCTAACCCAAAATAAATACGTAAAACAATTCAACTCTGATTTTGTCAGTCAAAAAGTTGTTGCCACGGCTGGTGCCTATGAGTCATAGGCTCTGATGCCAGTATGTTAACAGTTAGCTGTGATGTTGAAGAGAAATCAGCCTTTTTCTAAGAGGCATACTCCTCTGTAAAGCAGCCGGCAACAAAATGCTGCGTTCATGGCGTCCATGGTGTTGAAATTTGCCCTCAGTAGTGCTAAAATATCAGAGCCTCTTGTAGTATGGCTGTTAGCTCAACTACAACACACAGTAACACTCTCAAAGGACCATAAATGTGCTTCTAGTGACGGTTCTAGTAAAACTCTAGAGTTCTCGACCTTTTTCACAGCAGCCTTTTTAACATGAATTAGTAGGGTAATCACAGGTGTTTCCACCTAATTAAGGTCCTGTTCCATTTAGTGTAGCAGAGCCTTTTCCAGTGAGCTAACATGTACAATAGCAGCACCCTGACTCTGTTTGACCTGAATTGAACCTTAATTAGAATAACTTGTAACGGCTGTGTTTACCCTACTATTTCATGTCAAAATGGCTGCTGCGAAAAAGGTCTATTAGCTCTTGCAGCTCGGCCCTGTTCCTTGAATTAGAAGCCATAGAAAAATATTTTTGTACAAGTCGCTGCCACCCCGCTGCTTTTATTTAGTCAGCAGCCTGAAGACGACTGATCATCAAACAGAGTGAGGGGGGGACAGGCAAAAACACACACACACATCTACTGCCATCTCTTACCGGCATTTCCTGTTCAGCTATTTCCTCTTCCTGTCAGTGTTTGGAGAGGAGGGGAGGGGGAAACGTGCTCTACAGTATTTAATTGCTGTGCACTTTGGTCATACACACACACACACACACACACAGAGGCATGCCTTTGGAGTCACGTTGGTTTTGAGAAACACAATTAAACAGGGATCGGAAGAGATGGATTTGGTTTGTTGGACTGGTGGAAACAGGCAAACACACACACACACACACACACACACGTACACATACACCGACCAATTTACCCACGTAAACAGAAGCACAAAGCTCAAGCCTATAGTTCAAGTCTTCTTAATCGATTCTGTGTCCTTTCAGATAGTTATGGAGAAAACTTAAATTCTCCTGATTCCTTTAAACAGAAAAACACTGAGATTATCACGTGGCAAGATAATGTGTGTGTGTGTGTGCACAAGCTGTTATTGAATTTAAATCCTTCTTCATGCTGTGCTTCACACCTTTAAATAATCATGACGTGTCGTTCGCACACTACCTACACACTAATACTAACAGCACACACACACACACACACACAGATGGTGAGTCATGTCAGAAAAATGAGGTGTCATCCCGTGGGTCGCTCATTGGAGATGGACCCTACCCATCATGCTCAGTGCATGATGGGAACATCCTGAGAGAAGTGTCAAACATTTAGCAGTTTACTGTGTGTGTGTGTGTGTGTGTGTGTGTGTGTGTGTGAGAGAGAGAGAGAGAGAGAGAGAGAGAGAGTGTTTAGTTAACATTCATGTGCACTGGAGTGTAAAACTTTTGTTATGGGAGAGAGACACTAGAGTTAGCTTAAATGTTAGAGAGAGAGGAGGGGGGGCGTGGGAGAAATAAAAACATCATCTAAACTGACCTTTTAATCAATAATCTATACATTCATTTTACTAAAGTTAGCTACTAAAGAAATAAATGTTCCTAAATCCTGCTGTTGACTCCTTCACAAGTTTTATTTGCACATAAAATACAATAGTATCTTTGCTAATTAGAGATTGGGGCATTGCAAATCCCATCAGTGAAGCCTTGAACTGAGAAAAGTATCAATTCTGTATCCGTTGAGCCCCAACACTGACTAGTCTCGAAAAGTTTGTACTTATGGTGGCGCTGGAGGGAAGTTCACATGAACCCTCTGAAAATGAAAAGGGTTAATCTTTGTACATTTCTTATCGGGTCTCCTTTACTAACCTGGTGTGGCGACATGTTTTGATGCAGGATGTATAAAACCTTGTTTAAAACCAGCTTGAGTGAGTTCTAAGCTGCTTAGATGATCTACACAAATATAAATGTTTAAACTTTTGCTGATATGGACATGCTACACATCGTTAGATCAGTCAATTGAATCGTTTAGTTCATTTTATGGAAACCACGAGCACCAAAATATAAAATAATCAAATGAATGATTTGTGTGACATGTATGCACATTGCCTAATTATTAAGGCATTAAAGGAACATTTATACTGGTTAAAATAAAGTATTTATTCTCTGCTGAACAAGAGCTTGTGCAAGAGGAATTAAAAGCCTGTCTTAAATAGAGGCAGGTTGAGTTCAGTGACTAAGCCTGGGCTATTAATTAAAGTTTTAAGGTATTAACATGACGAGTACCTACATGTTTTGGACAGAACATATTCATAGATACTGCACTGAAGTAACTGTTCTGTTTGTAGTTTGAAACCATTTCATTCTTGTTCTCTCCTCTGTCTCTTTTTTCTATGTTAGAAAAAATTAGAGCCATTTAATATTCTCTCCCTTTGGATTGTAATAAGTGTCTCTCACTCCCTCCAGGCGTGGAAGAGGCGTTGGTTCGTGCTGCGAAGCGGTCGGCTGAGCGGGGAGCCGGACGTCCTGCAGTACTACAAGAACCAGCAGTCCCGCCGGCCAATCAGGACCATCAACCTGAACCTGTGTGAGCAGGTAAACAGACAGACACAGGATGGTCCGACACCATCTGTGAGCACTGCTGAAAAGGCAGTGAAAGACCAGCTGCATGGCATTATGAGCCAAAACTTTAGTATTATTATGAACTTAATACCTTTTTTAAACATTTAATCCTATTCATTGATTACTGGAATATAAGTTTTCATTTCAGTATGTTTAGTTTTTGTATTTTTAAATGTTGAACCTCCCTTTTTAGTTTGAGGGTTTGGGGTTTTTTTTCTTTATGACTGTATTCTTTTATGTATTTATTTATGGATAAGTCATTTTAAACTTCATAGAATATGCTCCACTGAACAAACTAAAGTAAAACTTTGTTCCATTCTAAGCCAGACTAAAGTTTCTGGGTTTAACGCTTACTGCCTGCTAATGCTTACTAAACAGCAATAGTAAGCAACAGGTTTTGTGTTTTTTGTATTACTTTGGCCTAGTTTCTTGTATTTTTCAATGAATTCTGTCAGCAGGAGAAACGTTGGACACCAGCTAAATGTCTTACATTTGTGCTCCAACACTCATTCCCAGCCTGCCTCTTTTCTCTCTCTGCATCCCCTTCTTCTTCTTCCTCAGGTAGACGCTGGCCTGTCATTCACAAAGAAGGAGCTGGAGAGCAGCTTCGTTTTCGACCTGAGGACGGAGGAGAGGACCTGGTACCTGGTGGCTGAGTCTGAGGAGGACATGAACCGCTGGGTGTCCGCCATCTGCCTGCTCTGCGGCTTCAACCCGACCGACGACGGTGAGGTGGAGAGAGAGGGAGGGAATAGAAATATTCTTCGCACCACTTTCTTATTTTGCATTTGATATGGATAGATGTGTGGGTTGTGGCTGAGTCAGTGTGAAAACTAGTGGGAGGAGAGAAGAGGACATGCAGAGAGAAAGATTGACGAAAAGGCCTTCAGGACTGTGTGTGTGTGTGTGAGTGTGTGTGAGTGTGTGAGTTAGTGACTCAGATGTGTATATGGTAAAGTATTTAAAATATCATAAAGTATGGTATTGTATATAACAGCTTTACTTTGTACAGTCATATCAACTTTGTTTGTTTTTTACTGATATAGACTTTGATGCCCACAATGAGTCATTTTGTCTTATAACTCATGTTTTGATAACTTTCTTTTAAATCATTTTGCATATTATAATCTCAGAGAGTCAAATGTTGTGCAATACAACACTGCTCGTTGCGTAGTACCTCAGTGTCCCATCATGCATAACTCTTGTTTATAAGTTAATCAAATGTAACAGATCATTTTAAAAAATTTTATGCTGAAGTCAATGGATTTCTGTTTTGACGCACTTGTTGGAGCCTAACAAATATTTATGGTACTGTTTGGCTGACATGCATGTTTTCCCCTTGACGGGAATTCATATTTACAGTAAATCAGTCCTAACCTGAACACACACCTTAAGCCCCAATTAGTCAGATCTGGTATCCTATTCATTCATCATCTTGGCCTATTTGGGTATTTATTTTTGGCTCAAGTGCCATCATGGTAAAGGTAAACGTTTATCCATTTTGGATTATGTATAATAATAATTTTAAAAAATTGGACTAGACTATTTGTCATAATTAAGAGCCTGTTTAGCATTGCACGCCAACTCAGTGGTGACTTTATTCGGTACACGTGTAAAATTTTATTGTAATCCAGTACAACAGCTCAGTGAGTGTATTTCTGTCTTACTCATGATTTACTTGTTTTGTTTTTTAATATCAGAATCCTTTTCAAAACCTGGCCCACACATTACCCACAATGCAGCTTCCTCTGGAGACACAAAAGTTACTTTTCAAAATGTCTACTAAGACCCAAGTTGATAAGTTGAGCTTTAAAGTAAATATTGTCATTCAAACACTCCAGTACCCATAATGATCTGCAGGGAGACACAGTAAGGGTTTCTCATATTTTTTTCTTTCTACAAGGATTTACATATTGTTATTTGACCTCTTGTTTGGGGGACTTTTTTCTTTCTAGTTTCAGAGAGACCTTCTGTCTCTGGCTCGTCCTCCATCACAGGGACAACCCCAACCAGTGGCAGTGCCACCACGGTAACAGGGTCGGTCCCACCACCCTATGATCCAGTGAGTGTGCGGAATGTGCAGCCTGATGCCAATGCAGAAGAGGATTACCTTTGGTTATCACACTGCCAGAGTCACATCAGGTAAACACACACAGCCAAAATACAGGAAGCAAGACTTTATCTTGGGATGTGAAAGTAAATTTATAGACCTCAGAAACAGAAAGAATACAGACCCATACTACGCTTTACTGTACAAATCAGAACCAAAACAGAGAGTATTTTAGATCTTATACATCCCACACAGTTTAAGTGGTGAGTTAGACCACAAGCACAGAATACAACAGAATACAACAGAATTATAAATGAGTAAAAAGAGTAGAAATCATGTGAGTTTTGTTTAAAAATGCTGGCTAATATTCACATAAAATGCACAAATTCAACTTTTCCACTCTGGTTCAGACTAAAGAACCAGCTGAAGCTAAATCAACTAGACCAACAGTCAGAGTTACAGGTTCAGACGTGTTGAATTTAAGGATGGGGATTAGAGGTTTATCTTAGCCTGGATCACACCCACGGATCTCTAAGAGCCTTCAAACCGTCATGGAACACTTCATCAGACTTTCCTCCTTAGCTGGAAAGATTTTGATTGTATTTCTGAATTTATTTTGGTGTCTCTCTTGTCTCCAGGCCTCCTTTAGGTTCCTCCACCTCTCTTGAAACCGACTACAACGACAACCTCTACCCTCCTCCCTCCGCCACCTCCTCCTCCTCTTCCTCTTCCTCTTCTCCTTCCCTCCTTCCCAACAGCCTCCCGGTCCCGTCCTCCTCCTGTTCCCCCGGCTTTCGGACAGCTCCTTGGACAGCTACTGCCATGACGGGCCCTTTCAGCCAGTCTCTGGATGCCAGCATGACCCTTGACCTCTACAAACGAGCCGGCAGGCCTCGCTGTCACCCGTCTCCTCATCCCAGGAAGCACTCGCTGGATTTCCACCTGCGACCTGTGGCGATGCCTCTCACTGATGACACGCGCTCCGCCGTGCATCCAAATACGCACTCATACACCAACAGTGGTTACCAGATCCCCCGTCCTGCGTTCACCCCGCAGCCACGTACCCCTCGCCGGCCATCCTCTACCCCCAGCGTGGACTCCCTGACCCAGGCGGAGCTCCACGCCTCCACCCCGACTCCTCCTCCACGCCCGCCCAAGCCCCCGACCTTTGCAGCCCAGGGAGAGAGCTCAGCTGGGGGCACACTGCCCCGATCCACCTCAGAGCATGATAGGAGGGATGGATATGTGGAGGGAGGGGGTGGAGGTCTGCCAAAGAGTAACACTGTCACTATGCCAGGACGCATACAGCCAGGTAGGAAGACAGTAGTCTGTCCTGACTTATCTCTCATTAAAGGTTTGATATTACAATAGTAGTTTGACATTTTGGGAAATATGTTTATGTATATAGAAATCACTCTCATACCACAACCTGACATTTTTACATTTTTTGGACATAAGAGAAATTGATGCTTGTTACCTTTGCAGTGCTTATACTTTATGAACTCTCAGTGACCATCTTTATTTGATTTCTTAGTGTATTTTAGCGTCTTATATCTTTGACTTAAAGATATAATGTGTAACATCTCCACATTAAAATGTCTATAAATGCTCCACTTATGTTGTTGAGTTGTGTACTGACAATAATCAAGTTTTAAGCCACATTTTTAGTATAGATCATCATACGTCATCAGTCTTGGTTGTTTTTAACTCTATATTTTAACAAGATAAAGGATTTTAGTTGTTGGATGTCTGGATCTTAAATAATCAGAGAAACAAGTTGAGTTGACGGCTCGCATCCTTTGTCCACCAAAACTGCAGCAGAGAAACACAGCTTTTTAATCTGAAACTGCTTTACTCAGTGTTTGTTTAATTTTAATCACCGGGTCTGTTTTTTTTTTTTGAGAGGAGGATAACTGTGTGGATAATTCGGCTCCTAGAAGAAACCTCCTGAGTGTCTGAATCTTAAGTTCATCAGAGAAACAAGCTGAGCTAATGTTAGCAGCTCCGCTCACAGCCTCTCCGGGACGTCCTTTGTCTGCCGAACTGCGTCAGAGAAACACTGATTTTAAAGGTGTAACTGCTTTATTTAGTGTTATTGTTATTGTTTTGATGTGAGGGACCCCTATAGGCAGAAATTGCATATTGTACGACTGAATGTAATCATGGATGCAAAAGCCTTAAATGATGAAGAAACAACAGGGACAAATGGATGCTGCCTGACAGAACTGCTCACAGAGGAATGCCTTTTGGCACATGTCATGTAAATTAATCGTGAGTCAACGGAAATAAATATTGTTCCTTATTCAATATTCAGTTACAGTGGCGGTGAAATCCCCTTAGGAGGCTGCATCGTCACTATTAGGTGGCAGAGAGTTTAAAACCTCAGAGGAGATCAGAGAGCTCTGCAGTCATAAAGCGGCTTTGTTGTGCAGGACTGGATTATATCCTCACGGCTAAAACAATTCATGCCTGTTTTCACCATAATTTGATTGGCATTAGTTTCCTTAATAAGACGAGAACTTTGCCCCGCAAGAGCACAAAGAGTCTCTTCAGCCAGTTCAGCCTGGGTGGTAAAAATGTACAGTGTTCATGACGGAGACACAACTTCTTAGGAGCATATTTAGGAGAACAGTCGGGATGAGCGAGCACACCGTTATCTTATCTAACTCTCAGCAAGATAAACCTGCTTCCCAAAATGTTGAACGTCATCACCCTTTAAGAGCGCACTGAGCCTCAGGTGGTTTATGTGATGGTCTGTACGCTCTGTGTTTCAGGTTGTGAGTCTTTTTACATCCTTCGGTCTCGGTCCGAGAGAGCTAGCATGTTTGAGTTCAGCGAGAGCTTCAACAGCTACTTCGTGAGTTAAAACTTCTAAAGCCTAAAATACAATATATGTGACAGAATTTCTGTTCTGTCATCCCCTATTCTTTATTTTTTTTTTATCTCTTTTCAGTTTATCATTTCAAAATGCAAGTGTCTTTCTCTCTCTCAGTTTAATAAAGGCATGGTACCTCTGGGTAGTGTTTGTGCTGAAGATGACGATGTGGACGAAAACTATGTTCCCATGAGCGCCGCCACCACGGAGCCTCCTGTTGCACCGAGGTTAGTCAAAGAACACATAAAGTGATAAAATTGTGTCCATGTGCTGGACCTTTTTAACTTAAAATGTCGCACTTTCACAAGTTTCTTCTTCTCTTGTTCCAGGGTGCTTCCAACTCCTGCCTCCGACCCCTCGGCCCAGCTCCAGGATGGAAACTACGTCCCTATGACCCCCCTCACCCCGTCCCTTCCCATTCATCCCACCCCTGCCACAGGGGACCTGGCGTCACTGGGGAGGCAAGTTCCCCCACCTGCTCACATGGGTTTTCGTAACTCCCCCCTGACCCCCGTCGCTCCCCTCACCCCGGCGCTCCGGAGGAATACCATTAACACTGCTGGGGGAGTAGAGGTCAAAGCCATGCCCCCTCCAATCCACCGCAATCTGAAACCACAACGCAGAGGTGGGTCGCAGGTTATCTGGAATTTATAGCTAACCCTGTGTCAAAGGAAGCTTGACCTGGTGTTTAATCCCTCTGTTACTGCTCCATATCCAGAACAATCACTTAGTCAGTCATTTTGTAGACATATAAGGTACAAAAAGACATAAAGAACAGCATTATATAATGAAAATCACCAAAAATATATAAACATAAACATGTATGTGTGTACATACAAGAAGGTTAAGAAACATTTATATAATAACATGGTATAAATATATATAATATATAAAAGGCATACAATGTACAAGTTTATGTGATTTCCAAACAATTAATATTGAATGAATATGCATTAAGTAGGTAAATATGTACAGTAAAATCATCATCAGTCAAGATTTTAGTGTTAGTGATGCGGAGTGATGGCCTGTGGAAAGAAACTTTATTGTGACTTAAAATGTCAATTCTGCACATTTACAGCGAGCATTGATCTGTCCCCATTGATTAAGTTGCGGCAGTAGTGCAGCCTCATTGATGCTCTCTCCTGTCTGATGATGTGTATCCCTGCAGGGGTTTTTGCCAGTCAGCCTGCAGAGAAAACGGACGTCCAGGCTGCCGGAGAGATGACGCACAAAACCAGAGGTACAAACTATTAACTGGGCTGAGAATTGACAACACAGACTAAAACGGACATGAGCATTGCTTATTACACAGAGAACATTCTTACAATGATATTCCTTTGCTATAAAGTATCCTGGGAAGAACTACATCCATTGCTCCTTGCAGATGCTGGAAGTACTGTGTCCTTGGAGGTTGGAGTGGTGGATTAGTGTTTAGTGAGGCCGACTAGAGTTTCTTGCCCGTTTTTTTTGGTAACCATAAACACTATCGTCCTACAACTACAGTATTTCCAAGACCAGGACTACTTGAGACCGAGTCAAGAGCAAAGAGGTCCAAAGAGGTTCGAGTCCAAGTCAAGAATGAGTGCAAATCAAAGCCAAAACCTGGCAGGCAGGAAGTGACAGGCGCTTATCGCTAATACCCTAAAGTACTCGGCAAAACCAATGGGCCATGTCAAAGTGCAAATACCAGTCTAAGACAATAGAAAAACCGTCTTAAATGAGAGAAAAGACTCCAGTACTACAGCATTGGTTAAACATACCATAACGTTGATTTTAAAACTGTCAATGAACATAATCAAGGGGTTTCGCAGAATCGTCCAATATTAACGTTTTTGTCGGGATTGTTATCTGAGAACAGAACAGTAGCTTCTGGTCTTGGTTAACAAGCAACAAAATGAGGTATTTTCTTCACAAACAACTGTAATCAATGTCATTGAGGCAAGAACCAACTCAAAGTGAAACGTTCCGAGGCAAGATTTTGATCTGAAACTGCCTGAGTTGAAGGAATGTTAATACATTGTATTAACATCAGTAGTTCAATAGGAGTTTGTTTTTGTTTTGTCTTTGTTTGATAGACAGGACTCTCATAGCTCATAAATGTGAGACTGGTAAACAAAGTCTAGACTCTCGTTTCCCATCAGTACTTGCAGTTTATTTTCTACCACAATATAATTCCTGTTTTTTGGTCGTCTCTCCTTCTCCGGTCCGACTTGGCAAAACATTTTCTGTCATTGTTTGTTCACTTAAAGTCTGAAACATCTGCCCATAAGACTCTTTCTGTTCCTGAAACAGACCATCGTTTCTTCTTCTTCTTCTCTCTCTCCATTTCCCCCCCTCCACCCCACCCTCTGTTTGTCATTTCACGTCTCCCTTGTTCCCCCTTCGGCCTCTTTTAGTTTTAATTATTTACCGGCTTCCACTTTGCTCAACAAGGCTGCACAGTGGGGTCATGACAGCCACACACACTCAAACACACAGCTCCATATATAGAGCTGTAGCTTATAGAAACATTCACATTAAATATTAGTGAAGGTTGACAGTTAAGGAGCAAAGTCTGCAACACTCAAAACACTACTTCTTCATTTGAGGTTTTACTTCTTCTCTTCTCTACACATAATAAACCTCATCACTCTTTGATTGTTTCACTTTCTTTGTCCTGTTCTACTCAGTTGACCTTTTGGAAAGCATTAATACAGTCAGCAGTAACAACTTATGTCTTATCCAATGTCCAGAGGTGGGATGTAACATAATACGAATACTTTGTTACTGTACCTTCATTTTTTTTTAGGTATTTGTTTAGTCTGTATTTATTTTTATTTTTACTACTTTTTTTTACAGTTAAATGTTTCAAAGTGTAGTGGAAATTAAAAGTTCTCCTCTTCCTCCCTCCCAGTGAAACCAGCTCCTCTGAACATCACTCCAGTGCAGCAGGACTGGCAGGAAGTCCCGCCCCCCATCCGCTCACCTGTCACTCGAACCTTCACGCGAGAGTAAGCCTGTGTGTGTTTGTGTGCGTGATAAGGAGCAATGGCTCGGTCTTATATTGCGGCGTTGACAGAAAGCTACAAAACAATTCAATATTAAAGGTCTGTTACTGAGAGAGAGAGAGAGAGAGAGAGAGAGAGAGAGAGAGTGTGAATATCTGAGCAGGTACAATGAGCTGGGTTGCACTCTGCTGCCCCCTGTGGTGGTAAGTGAGTACTGCAAGGCAATACCACTCTTAAAAAGTCTGTATTAAAAGTATTAGGTTATTAACTATTATGTTTATCATCATTGTTTATTCTCTTAAATGTCAATTAAAATGTGCATCATAATTTTCCAGAGTTTGATAAACAGTCTGCTACTAACAGTTATTTTTATAATCAGTTAATCTGCTGATTGTTCTATAAATTAATATTAATTGATTGATCACTTTACCTATATCACATCAAACCCTAGAGCCTGATGTAATTTGATACAGTCCAACACACAAAATATTAAATTTACTAGTTTACTAATTAACTAAAATGTGCTTAATGATTAATTGTGTCTATGTGTGTGTGTGTGTGTGTGTGTGTCAGTCCGTCCAGTCGTCGGGCAGTCAGGCCGACCTCTGCTCACAGCTCGTCTCCCTCCTCCGATTCCGATGACCCGGATGACAACTACGTCGCCATGACAACCTCCAACCTCAGCTTCAGCGCCGGAGAGCCGGTAAAACTACTTCTTCCTCCCCCACCCACTCTTTCCACATCCTTTCATCCATCCCTACTTTCTATCCTCCCTCCCCTTCTGATCTTATTCATTTTGCCATCATCACTTCTTCCCCCTCCTGCTCTCTGCTTGTGCACTGCTTTCCTTCCATCCTTTTTCTTTCCTCTAAACTTTTCTTTCTCTGTGTGTGTGTGTGTGTACAGTCTCTGAGGCTCATGCTGCACCGGGCGTCAGAGGGCGGAGTCAGCAGCCCGTTGCTACGGCGAGCCAGAAGCGACAAACAGGTGGAGTACCTGGACCTGGACCTCCACACTGGGCGATCAACACTAACAAGACAGGTAACACCACTCTCTCTCTCCTCTTTCTAAATAATATTATTTATTTACTGTTACTATATTGTGCAGCCACTAGAGGGCGCCAGATCAACACATTCTGCATGTGTACAATATTATTTTGCTTCACTTATTTATTCTAATATTATTTAATATGAGTGATACATTCAGAATTTGATATATTTTATTGATTAGAAAATATGTGCTTTGTCATTCACATCATGTTTGCAGTGGATCAATCAACAGATAAAAATGCTTTTTTCCCACAACCAGAAACGCTGCACAGCAGAAGGCGGAGGCGGCGGTGGCGAGCACACTGGACCGGGTGAGGAGCTCGCACGGGGCGGGCGTACACGTGTTGACTACGTGGTGGTGGACCCCAAAAGGACCAAGGCCCTGAGGAACACCAGAGAAGCGTGGCATGATGGGAGGATGTCCACAGAGAAGGAGAAATGCTAGAAATGCACACAGACGTTTGAAGAAGCTTCTTAACGAGCACTGAGGCCTTTAAAGGAAAAAGAGAATTACTTTGATTAAAAGTAATCGATTCATCACTTCCTGAGAGTTTCTATAAAAATGTTCATGCTCAGCTGACTGTCAACCCAAGAGTGTATTACCAGCACAGGTAATAGGATTGTCTGCTGTAGAGAGAGCACAGTTTTTGTTGAATGTGTGAATGGAAGGCAAAGCTTGTATCCGCAGGTAGGTTAACATGGTTCTACATTGACATTATAATTAGGTAACATTAGCGTCACTTAGCCAGGGAAGCTGAGGTTCTTCCAACGCACCTGCTGAGATTTAAGTTAAATCTCCAACTAGAGTATTTCTTCCTCCAGAGTTTCTGTGTCAGAGACGTGTTGTAGACATAAAAGCTAAGGTCACAGGTTTGACACCAGTTTCAATAAAGATTGCAGCACAGGTAACATCCACCAGCATCCAACTAAGCATCAGCTAGAGCTCCATTATTCTCTAAACATCGTGTTTTCTGCTGGAATAGAGAAAATAAAGGTGGACTGTCCTGATGATTAAAAAAACATCCAAATAACTTGATGATTTTCTTATATAATCATCCCAGCAGCTTTGTGTGCAGTTAATTATTGTGTCAAATCAAATCTGTAATGTTACTGCTGAATAATTTCATTGATTCTGTGAGCGACAAATGTGATTTTTAGTAATGACTGTTCAACAGTGAATACATGAATAAACACTACACGACACAGGTTTCTAGTGTGTTTTATTGATTCTCGCATGACACAAAGTCGTCTGAATCCAAACAGCTGGGCAAATCAAGTACACACTCACACACTAATGGCGGAGGCTGCCATGCAAGGTGCCAACTGCTCATCAGAAACTAACTAATCCCATTCACACACACTGATGGCACAGAATCGGAGCAATTTTGGGTTCAGTATCTTGCCCCTGGACACTTCACCAAGCAGAGTGAGGAGCCTGGGATCAAACCATCAACCTTCTGGTTAGTGGATGACCCGCTCTCCCCCCTCAGCCACAAACATAAAGCATTTTATTGTCTTATATTTATTTATTATTATTCCTATAGTCATGCTGCCATCATGCCTAAAACATGTTATCATACTCAAATAATGGAGATGAATTTACATCATATTTAAATCTGATTGTCTGACCTATCTCAAATATTCAAATAAACTAAACCAGAAGAGCAGATATTCAAACCTCCGCTAAATTAATTTAAATAATAAACGAATCTGAACCTCATACGACTAACAGTTAAATGGTGAACTGTTAATTTAACTACATGATGACTGTTTACTTTCAGCAATTAAAACTGACAATAACTTCACTGTGGGGTACTTACACCTACATTCATCATGTTTATGCAAAGTAGCTATACCAGTTATATTACTTTTGTTGAGTAAGAAGTACAAAATGTTCTTCTTAAATGTAGAATACAAATCTAAAGAGGCATAAAATGGAAGTAAACTAAAGTGCAAGTACTTAGAGTGCAAGTAATTGTTTGCTTTCCGCTTGCTTGGAGAGAGAGTGAGGCGACACCCCCTAAAGTCACTGTCCTTTGCAGGTAGGTAATTAACCGTACCCACTGTGAAGTACTTGAGCTAAATGCTAACATGCAACAACAGGCTAAACTAACAAGCAAAGTTGGGACAGATTCATATGTTTTACCTGATGGTGGCGCTAGAGGAAATTTGCATTTCCAAAAGTGATAACAGTTCATCCTTAGGAGGGCACGAGTGTCTGAACCTGACTTCATGGCAACCCATCCTGTAGATGTTGACACTCAAACCCACAAAAATCCCCCTGATGGTGGCGCTACAGGAAAGGTCAGGGGATCACCAAAGTCATTATGGTTCGTCCTCTGGGAACTGTGAATATCTGTATGAAGCTTCATGGCAATCCACCAAATAGTTGCTGAGATGGTTCAGTCTGGACCAAAGTGGCGGACTACAGTGAACAAGAGGGAAAAAAACGTTGGCATGCATGTCTCTAAGCAATGTTACTGTTATTTACATGGGCGTGTCCTTTTCCCAGCTTCACTCCACCTCTTTTTCAAAACATCTGCCACATATGTACACTTGATTGTTGTAAATGTCAGTGTTTGTTTTGTTTAACAACCGTATCCAAGGGGAGGGATGTGAGAAAAGGCCCCACCTATGATAAAAACCCTAACCTGATCTCTGATTTGATACCAGACGGGGAGTGTTTGCATGTTCGTCCACACACTGGAGTTCTCATGTATCCACATCAGGTGGGTACTGCACTAGATCAGACAGAACCTTTAAACAAGACCAAACTACTCAGTGTTATCTGAACCTGAAGTATTTTCTCCTCGAGCTTCCTTTATGAGCTGAGTCATCATGACTCCTCTACTTGGCTTCACAGAAACGTGTTTTTTCCTTGAAGCAAATGAGCTGCTGCTGCTGCAAACTGAAAGTAAAGTCCATTCCAATCTCTGTTGTTTATTTTGGCAGATCGCTCATTCACAATTAAGTTCACACCAGGAAATAGAATTTAAATGATTTTATCTTCATCTTAGTATTTGGACAGTTATGCTGCACAGCTTGCACGTTGTATGCCTCAATAAATGAACACACCTGCAAAAAAATTTTATTGTAATTTATAGAAATGGATATTGCAATTAATGCCAATATTTAGTTATTTTCTACAAAACTTTCTTGAATGATTTGAAAATATTAAAAGCAGAAATAAAATTCATCAAAATCTTAAGTAACATTTTTAAATATTAGAACTCTTCTTATATGATTTAAATATGTCAATTTATAATGTGTGTAAAATGTGAATTTTGTTTATTATATGAGGATAGTATTCTCCTACTATACGGGAAACGGGGACAGTTGTCTGTTTTCCAGCTGTTTCTCAGCCCAGATAAACCAGTTTGACCACCTAACATGATTTGAGGGCGAGGGCTGTAACCACATGAACGTCCCACTGCATGTACAGATAATGTGACGTGTTAACAGAGACAGGGGTGTGAATAGGAGGAGCAGCAGGAGTCAGATGCAGAGGACACACACTCTACCTAGCAAAGTACAGGCACATCTTCAAACTTATTGACAGTGAGTGAGGATATCTGAGATTGAGGACAGTGATTCAGAACTGGCTCTGCTGGTAAGGCAAATATATTTCTGTGTGTAAATTACATGTTTTTTTTATCTGCATTGGTGTGTGAGTCCTGTGTGAGAAAGGAGGATGACTTTAACTGTACATATCTGTGGAAACAAAGCAGTGCTGCAGGGTGAACTGATAAATGACTCTGAAACGTCGCCTCATTGCGAAGCAACTTATGACTGAGTAACTGGACATGTAGGCACAGATACTGAAAATAACTGTGGAGTTTGTTGTTGACATCTAATGTGTTTATGACTCTTCATCACTGTCTCCTCTCAAAGGGAAAACATGATCTGCTGGATCCTGCTGCTCATCAACCTGACCTCCTGTGTCTGTGGTTAGTTTA